TCATTCCTTGCTTACTAATCAGCTTCCCTCATTTGTTACTTGCGTTGCGTGCTAATATGTCCTAGCTTCCTTCTTTGGTTACTTGCGTGCTAACTTTCTTCCTTATTTTCTTCTTTGATTCCCTGTTTACGCATTTGTTACATGCATACATACATTCATTTATTCATAATTGTTTATATGTTTCTTTGATTTGTTATTACTCACTTGCTTCCTTGATTCATTGTCTGATCCTTTTGCTTAGTTACTTTCTGCTTTCATTCCTTACTTGCTTGTTTTCTTCTTTTATTTTTTTATCCCTTGCTTAATTACCAGCTTCTTGGTTTGTTTGTGTTCCTTTCTTGCTTCCTTGATTCTTTTCTTACTTGCTTGCTTTTGCATTTTCTTCCTTAATTCCTTGGTTAATTAGCTTCCTTGTTTTGTTGCTTACATGCTTAATTTCTTACATACTGTCTTTTTTCTTTAATTCTTTGGTTAACTTGCTTCCTTGTTTCTTTATTGTCTTTCTTTCTTTACTGATGCTAGGTTAGCCGAAAGATGGCTTCTTACTTTCTATCGCTTGTTCTTTGCTCTCTAATTGTGCTTTAATAATACTAGGTTACAAGGCAAAGTCCTCGTCATCATTAATGTTGCTACCACAAAGACTATCGGAAAGACAAGGATCAAGTTCTACGATGATTCTTCCTCTTAACTCTCTTTCTTGGTTTGTTTCTAATTTGTTATTTGTTAGTCTGTGGTATAAGCAGTGGCATAAGTTGCAGGAAGAACAAAGTCTCTAAGAGAAGATTATCTATGCAATGAGTTCCACTTATCTGCTTCCTTTTCCAGGTTTCATTATGATTTTATCAGATATTTTTCCTTGTGCTAATATATGGGGATGCACTTCTGCTGTTTCAGTTGGATTTCGTTAATAAGTGTTCATGGGATTAATACAACAATCATTAGCATGATTTAGTAAGAGAAACAAAAATGCATCAAAGTAATGTAAGTTTAATGCTCTTGTTCTTAATCGAATTCGATTTTTGAGTCTTGGATTCAGTTAACAAATGTGTGTTTTCCACAAGGAAGAAGCTTGAAAAAATAGAACAAGAGAAGAGAGTTTTGTAAATCTATAATTTGGTCGTTCAGATCTTTCTTAGAAATTTGTCTTTGTTTCTCTCTGCTAATAATATATGGTGATTAACTTCTGCTGTTTCAGATGGATTTCCATAATCGTGTTCCTGGTGTGGGAATTAGTACAACATTAAGTTGCTCAGAACGACATAATTTAGTAAGAGAAACATGAATGCATCAAGGTATTGTAATTTAGTCCTCTTGTTCTTATTCTAATTCGGTCATTCATATTTATGCATATTCAATTTAGCTAACAGGGAAGAACAAGGTAAAGCTTGTTTCTCTTTCTCAAAGGGTAACATATTTAAGGAATACATGTTATAGGTTGAGACTTCGACTGAAGACGATGCGGAGCAAGCATAATAGTATCATTGCAGCTTCAAAGCTTCATTGCTAAAACTGATCATATTGCAAAGAGCTAGTGCCTGGCAGCTAAATAGGTAAACATGCTCATAGCTAAACGACTAGTAGATTGGAAATATGCTATAACCATCCTTATACTTTGTCACTAACAATCCAAACTAAACTTCTTAATGATTTCCTATAGCATGTTATTTTCAATCTTAGGTGTCTATATGCCCAAACTCCGAAAATGTTTGTGACTACTGTTGAAAGACAGGAAAAAAGGGGATGGCCTAAGATTCTACAGAACAAAGTTCTCATATATATTATATGTGATGTGGATGGTAAGATTTACATATTCAACAATGTCTAGTTGTTGCTCACGGTTTTCTTCTCTTTCTAATGGAATTCTAATGTGAACGCTTACTAGGCACACTGGTCAGATTTGGGATGCAAATGCAAAGCTAAAAAGAAGTCATAAAACGTTGATTTGCAATATGCAGACGTGTCTTTATTCTCTGGAGCATGGAATTCCTCTCATTGCAGATCGCTGCTTGACATTGTTTGACAACCCACTGGTCGACTCTTCACATGAGCCAAAGGTAAGGTTAATGGCCAAATTAGCTGATAAAGGAGATACAGTCTTGTAAACGGCCGAAGCTTGATCATCCTCTTCCACACTCAGCTTCCAGAACTCTGAAAATCTGTCAGAACAACCGACCTCTTTGATAGTGTGATCTTAAATCTCCCTCCATTCATGTGTGCATATATACATTCATACATGCATAGATACATACATTCATTCATCCATACATTCATATATGCATACATGCATACAACATACATTCATGTGTGCATCTATACCTACATTCATGCATATTTACTTTCTTGATTCATTGATTGCTTCTTTTTTTTTTTTTTTTTTTTCATCTGTAAAATATATATTGATCAAGAGGAGATACAACATTTGAGCAACAGGTGCTGATATCAAACCAGAACACATCTACCTCAAGCTAAACAAAAGAATGGCTATTCGAAAGGTCAAACAGACTTCAGCAAACAAAAAGCCAATAGAAAGGACTAAACAGAGGAACACCCCATCTCACTAACAAAGAGATCATGTAGCCAATCCGGATGACCGGTAGCTACATAAGACTGAGCCAAGTTGTACTTCGTCACACTTTGGGCAATGAGATAGGGTCCTCTGTTCATTGATCTCGATTCTAACACTACAACCCACTCCAAAAAAACCTTCAACGCATTCTCCAACTCTGAGACCTGCATTCTGAAAGAAGGCCAGGCTTTAGGCCTGTTAATAGCACTCACCAGCGAGGGGTCTTCAAAAGCAAAGACAATCCTGGTGAACCTATGGCTAAACATACTATCAGCAGCCCACAAAAAACACTTCAGATAAGCATCATCCCAGGAGCTTATATTGCTGAACATCCTTCTACTATGAAGCTTAACTCTACCATGAGAGTCTCTTACAACCCACGAAGCACCCACCACATTTTTTCTTTTTAACCAAGCCACTCCAATATTACATTTATCCCACAAAGAATCAGGAGGTTTCCAAACCTTTTTAACCAATCTTCTCTCATTCTCATGGAGCTGATCAAGCTCTTGCTCAGCAGCTTGAGAAAACAACCACTGAGAGGCAATTGATTGCTTCTTTACTTACATTGTTTTCTTGCTTTCTTCGTTGCTTCTTTTACTTATTTCATTTCTTAACTAGCTTTCTTGTTTTTTTTTCTTTGTTTGCTTACATGTTTAACTTGTTTACTTCTTGTTTGTTTCTTTGATTATTTGATCGTTGCTCACTTTATATTGCTTCATTCATTTCTTAATTTGTGTGCTTGCTTGCTTCTTGGTTCTTTGATTTTTTTGTTTATTTACTTCCTTAATTGTTTGCTGGGACCATACATGCAATTAACTTGTTTACTTATTGTCGCTTTCTTTATTTCTTTTATTGTTTGATATATTAGCTTACTCAACTGATTCATTCGTTGGTCGTTGCTCAACTCTTTTACATGTTTACTTCTTTGATTCTTTGTTTCTTTACTTCTCTCATTGTTTTCTTACATGCTTACTTACTTTTTTATTGCCTCTTACATTTTTTGTATACTCGCTTCCTTCTTTGCTTCTATATAGTTCTATACTTCTATTTAGTTCTATATATATATATATATATAATTTGCTCAAATAATTTTGACAACAATATGAAAAAAATATATAGAAACAAATCTACGCACTCTCAAAAATTGAAGCACTTTCTTATTATCATCGATTCTTCCTAATCTCTATCGAATTATCTTCAAAATATTTGAACCAAACACTAATAAATATCCGAATGGATGATTTCTATATTCGAATAACCGAACTGAAGCCAAAATATAATTATTATAGGCTTGATGTAGCCCAATTATCCCAATATTATAAATCTAAAAATATCAAATATGATAAATAGATCAACATAACTAGAATAGCTAAAATAATTGAAATATCCAAAACAAAATTGTTATATTTATAAAAAAATAACCAAAGTTTTCTCAAATCAAACCAATTTTTCTAGATTTTTTTGATGTTTCGGATATCCGAACCGAAGTAACCGAAACCGAACATGACCTGCATATATAATTACATGAATGGAACCTCCAGGCCTAAACCCAAACCGAATCAATACGTGTATCTGAACGTCCAGACCTAACAATGTATATGCAAAGTTATCAAATTTTATCACATTTCCAAATTTTTAATAAATTGTATGATAATTCATTATAGATGATGAGTGTAACACTTTAGACCATCTCCAATGTATTTCTCTAATTCTGCCTCTAAAATAGAGAAACTCTATAATAGAGGTGGATTTTACTCCAATATATTCCTCTATTTTTTCTTCTAAAAAAAAGTCTAATGCTATTATAAAGGAAAAAATAGAGATCATCTATATATAGAGCAAAAAATAGAGATTTTTATTTAAGAGATGAAAATAGAGATGAGTTGGAGTAGATTTTACTCTAAAATCGAGAATAAAAACAAAAATAAAGGTGAGTTGGAGATGCTCTTAAGTAGAGATATTGCAAAAAAAATGTTACTAATAAGATCATATTTATCCATAGGTGGACTTTTGTGTCTTCATTCTCTTAATATATAGTTTGTTGACAAAAAAAACACACAATAAAGTTATATTATACATAAATGTATTATATATTAATATTACTTTTAATTGATATTACTCAAGGTTAATACAAAATACAAAATTATTATTGTTTAAGTTAATACAATAAAATAATATTTAAAAAAACTCAGATTTTTTAATTTTAATTTTACAAAATAACTATAATTAGTTAACACAATTAAATAAATAAGATGTAATTGATATGTTTAAGAAAGAAAAAAAAGATAACAATATAAAATATTCATTACTTTATTATAGGTATCTCATCAATGAAAATTAATTTTTGTTTTAGTTTTTTAAATTAATTTGAACTAAACATAGAGAGATGTTCTAACCACATATAAAAAGCATAAGATCCGAACTTTGAAGACATCCATCTAATTACCTTGAAACGTCTTTAGGGCTTAAGAATAATGGCTGATAAGATACCACCGCCGACAGATCAATTAGCCGCCGTCCCTTTGGACAACGCCGGAGCCTCTTCATCAACGGTGCATAAACCCTGGTCTCCGAGTCGGACCCGAATTCGATCGATTTTGGGTCGACCCGACGGCGGAGCTGGACTTGCGAGTCAGAAGGTCCAAATCAGCGGGTGGGTTAAAAAGGGAAGAGAGCAAGGAAAAGGGAAATTCGCTTTTCTTGAGGTGAACGATGGATCCTGCGCAGCGAATCTTCAGGTCAAGGTGGATGCTTCTGTATCAGATCTCTCCAAGTTGGTTACGACCGGAACTAGTCTGACCATTGATGGTTGTTTGAAGATTCCTCCGCAAGGTAAAGCTACGAAGCAAAAGATTGAGCTTAGCGCTGAGAAGGTCATTGACGTGGGAACAGTGGATCAACACGGTAAAACTCCGTACCCGATTCCTAAGACGAAGCTGACTCTAGAGTATTTGAGAGACCATACTAACTTTCGTGCAAGAACCACCACGATGGCAGCAGTTACAAGAATCCGACATAAGATTTGTCTTGCGGCCCACGTTTTCTGTGATAAACATGATATATGTTACATTCACACTCCTATCATCACAACAAGTGATTGCGAAGGTGCTGGTGAAATGTTCCAAGTGACAACTTTGATCAACCAATCTGAAAAGTTGGAGAAGAATCTAGTTAAGAACATTGAACTCACTGAAGCAGAGGAGACTTTAGCTAAGGTTGAAGATAGGTCAAAGCTTAAGCCTGGATTATTATTACCTAGAAAAGATGGAAAAATTGATTATTCCCAAGATTTCTTTGCACGTCAAGCTTACCTGACAGTTTCTGGTCAGTTACACGCGGAAACCTATGCTTGTAGTATGGGAGATGTGTATACATTTGGCCCGACTTTCCGGGCAGAGAAGTCTCACACTTCAAGGCATCTTGCTGAGTTCTGGATGGTTGAGGTTGAATTAGCTTTTGCCGGTGTAGAGGAAGCTATGAACTGTGCAGAGGCACTTGTGAAAGACATATGCAAATATTTGCTTGAAAAGTGTCTTGATGACATGGAACTTATGAAGAATGTCGACGAAGCCTGCATTGACAGGCTACAAATGGTTGCCTTGACTTCGTTTGAACGAGTAACATACACCAAAGCAATAACTCTACTCGAGGAAGCTGTGGCTAAAGGAAAGAAATTTGAAAACCAAGTGGCGTGGAGACTCGACTTAGCATCTGACCATGAAAGATACTTAACAGAGGTTTTGTATAAAAAGCCTGTTATTATCTATAACTACCCGAAAGATATCAAAGCTTTCTACATGAGACTTAACGATGATGGAGAGACAGTTGCTGCATTTGATGTCCTCGTTCCAAAGGTTGGAGAACTCATTGGTGGAAGCCAAAGGGAAGAACGTATGGACGTGCTCATGGAAAGAATGGAGGAGAAGCGTCTACCAATAAAGGAATATGAGTGGTACATTGACTTGAGACGTCATGGAACAGTGAAGCATTCTGGATTTGGACTGGGATTGGAGCGTATGCTTCTCTTTGCTACAGGAATGGATAATATTAGAGACGTTATTCCCTTCCCTCGCTATCCTGGAAGAGCTGACCTTTGAACCTAACCGGGGAATAATAAAAAAAGTTCAAGAGTAAACTGTTTTTTTTAGGAGTATAATATGTAACATCTAATTTAATCCAAGCACAAAAATATCAGTTATAATACCAACTTTGGTTTTCTGAAATTACGTCAAAAAGGAATTGAGAAAATAAAAGTATATTTTGTGATGCTGTGAATCATGTGATTTCTCGTCATCATTTTTTAATCACCCAACATTGCACTTGCTTATTGGTCTTTCCTTTTTATGAGTCTCAGTGGTGTGTATTCAGTTTCACAGGATAAGAATTGCCTCTCTTTGTTACTTAAGATCATTCAAATGGCATAAGAGGTCTCTTTTCATCCGCAGGTGTACTCAGTTTATGGAAAGCTAAAGGATCTGGTCCAGTCAAAACGGTGTGTACTCAAATGCTTACCAATCTGTTTGTGCTCTGATTTTACTTAATCTTGTATGTTTGCTGGTGGTGGTGTTGGAACTTCCATAGCTATTGCAACTAATCCACTTTGGGACAAGATTAATGAAAAGTTTTGCTCCTCATAAGCTTAGTTTTTCTTGCTTTGGTTTCACTTCCTACTGGATAAGAAGTCTCTCAACTCTCCTATGTTTTTTTCTCGTACACAAGGAATGAGACTGATTCTCGTCAGGAAGAAGATTTCGTGGGTTATACAGGTCAGTGTCTCCAATGAAGCTGGACATTCAAGAAACGGCAGGTAAAGTTTCGGAAATTTCGCGGTTGCTTCTTCAGTAGCTAAAGTAATCGCCTCTGTATGGACATACCCGAACAAGGTCACTTTCCTTATTCTGTTTTCTCCATCTCACTTCTTGGTCCTCATTTACACAATGTTCTTATCTTAAACATTTGAGGTCCAAGCTTCAAGAGCAATGACAAGAAAGAAACGTAGAGGCTCGGTCTTTCGGAGTCTTAATTGTTTAAAGAAAGTGTTTAGAAAAAAAGGGATTCCCGGGCTTCACCGAGGTTGAGCTACTAACCTACTCAGGACATCACCATCAGCAGTTATTACATTTATAAGCTATGAGATGATGCATAGGTTTACTTCTACAAGTAGTCTTCCCAGAGAATGAAACACCGGGCAAGCCAAAGTCAGAGAAAAACAGAGTTTTAGTTAATTGTGAAGAAAAAACACAAAGACTTAGGAAGCTAATCATAAAATCAGTAGTTCCCCAATCCCATTTGGAAGCAAATAGGTAACAAAGGCTTAACCTTTCTCTTTCTTTTTTACAAGTCTGGGCAACTTAATGATGAGAAAATGTGAAAATTTTGCTCGTCTTTATTAGGAATTTAAACATAAAGATACCAAATTTAAGAAGAAACATATCTATTCATTCATGTGGGAAACTAATGGTTTCCAAGGTCACATAAAGAAAGAGAAGAAAAATTGGTTACATTACTCCGGAATGGTACCCAGCTTAGGTCGCCAAGATCGCTGAAGAAGCCGCTTACTGAATCCGAACCAAGCCGGTGCTGTATCAGTGGACTCACATTGTAATCTAGCAGTTGCATTCAATTTAGCTGCCATGGCTGCAAGAACTTCTTCTTTGGTTTTCCCCTTCGGTCTCTCCTCCTCTTCTTCTTCCTCTACGGAAGACGAAGAGACGAATAAGTCTTTAAGTTTGCGTCCGGCTACGTCCTTGTGATGATGATGAATCAACGGTTGCTGCTCTCGACGGCTCGGCGATGCAAGAGTCAAAAGCATCTTTAGAGTTGTTTTCTTTCGTCGAAGCTGAACCAACGGACTTGTCCTTGGACTCGGACTTCGTGTCGGGCTCTGTGCTGCTACTCCGCACTGCGTCCCCAAGAACTTGAATCTCTGCAGTGTGGCCATGGAATTTGGAAATGTGGAAACTTTGCTTTCAAGTGAGGTTCATATAAAAGGATCCAAAACTTGGCAACACAAAAAACTTTGTCCTTTTGATTCTTTTGAAGCAAGTCTTTGTCTCGAAAGTGTGTGCTTTGAATTGGAATTTTGTGGACCATAAGGACACAGTTTCCAATAAAATTCCAAATTGTGTCATTATTGATGAGATTTTGAAAAAGATAAAGTGTTTGTTTATTCGATTCCTTTTGCTTTTTCTCATGTTGTTTGCTCTTTTACTTTTTTCCTTAATGTGCATAGAAGGAAGAATCATTTGCTGTAAATTAAATAATGTGCGAGTAGATGAGAGACACATACTGTTAGTCTTTCTTGGTCATAGATTCTCATTAGAATTCTTGTCGTGTTACTGTGTTAAGAATGAGACCATACTGTTAGTCTTACTAGAGATTTTAAGGAAAAAAGGAAGTTTGAAGAAAATGGGAATTTTGGAGATTTGATGTTAGCTCAAGACAGAACCTTGTACTTGTAACCAAAACTATCTACATTCACATGCATCAACAAGATAACCATGATCTTGTTACATTGGAATCACACTAGCACTTGGTCTCTCAATCTCTATATTAGAAACTCAAAACTCTTAGTTCTTAAACTCTCAGTTATACAACATCTATTTATACCTAGAAATGGCCAATGGATATAAACAGTTCAAGGTCATGCTTGTGGCCTTGAATGTAATAAGTATTTTTTAAGCTGATTATTTTGCAAAAAAAAAAAAAAAAAAACTCACTAAACTCTCCCATAGTTCAATCCCACAACCTTATAAGTATATTTCATAGATTAGAAATAACTTTAAATCACCATTAGTAGTTACCACAACTTCACTTTGTTTGCTGAGAATATTGCAACATTTTCTCGTTATGTCCACCGTCCACGTCACTTTAAGTTGGTTCATGTATTTTTGGAACTTCTGACTTAACTCGGTACACATCCGACAAAACTACAACATCTTAAATTGGGATTGTTGTTATTTTGTTTCTTTTACCATTGGTGTGTGTCACTGTGTCAGTGTTGCATAATCTAGGCCAACGTACTTAGTATAATAGGCCGTTTTTCAGCCTATTGATGTTTATTTATCGTAGTGGTTTGGGGGGAAAATGGTCATTTAATTCCCCTACTATATGAAATTGACACTTTTATTCCTGAATTTTCATGTGAATAATTTAATTCCTCAATGTGTAGTTGACTGGGCACTTTTGGACAAAGAAAAAGTCAACGTTAATTAGTTAACAGCAACGTTAACAGCTCGATTAAAAATCTCATCAGCCCTAAAAATTCCCAATTATTCTTCTTCTTCCCCCAAATTAAAACCTAGGGTTCTTAAGCGATTTTGAAAACGACGAACCCAGAAATTGAGTTCAATTGAGAGTGATTCCCGACAACACAAAGCTACTATCATGACTAAAAGAAAGAGGAAGCTTCAAAATCGAATTGAACGTGATGCCCAAATCGAACCCGAAATCACAGAGGAGAGAGACGAAGTTGAAGAAGAAGGAGCCGAATCTCATGATTCTAGTGTTGATGAAGATGACTGTCCAGTTATCGTGGAAGATAGCAGAGGATATACAGAGGTGGAACCATGTTTGGCTGAAAATGAAGAGGAAGAAGATGATGGTCTCATCGATGTTGAAATCTGCAACAACTTAGAAGACCATTTTGGGCAGGATGCGTGTGAAGAAGCAACTGGTGAAAATTCTGATGACAGTGGAGACGACATTTGGGACGACGACAAGATCCCTGATCCATTATCCGACGATGACCAAGAGGAAGCTGAGAGACCATGTAATGATGGAGTTCAACCTGATGATCTATTAGCATTGCATAAGACATTCAACAATGCAGATGAATTCAAGTATGCACTCCTTAGGTATTCTCTTAAAACCGAATATGATATCAAAATGTTTAAGTCATCATCTGATAGACTTGGGGCAAAGTGCACACAACACATCAAAGAAAAGTGTCCATGGATGGTGTATTGTTCTTTTGAGAAGAGTAAAAGCAAGCTTGTAATAAAGACATTCCGGAATGAGCATGTTTGTGTAAGATCTGGTTACACAAAGCTGTTAAAGAGCGGAACTATTTCTCAGTTGTATGAAGAAAGACTACGACTCAATCCTAAGATAAAATCGCAGGAGATGGTAGATGAAATCAAGAGAGAGTATAATATGATAGTTAGTGTGCATCAATGTCGGAGAGCGAAGAAGTTGCTAAGAAAAAAGAGAAGGGCCAGCCATGAATCCCATTTTGCTAGAATATGGGATTATCAAGAAGAGATACGTACCTCTAATCATGGTTCAACGATGGAGGTTGAGACGATTCCTGGGCCAATTCCTGGTGGCTTACAAAGATTTTACCGTCTCTATGTATGTTTTGAAGCATTGAAATCATCTTGGAAGCAGTCATGTAGGCCGATTATTGGATTGGATGCAGCATTTATGAAATGGGATATCAAAGGGCAAATGTTAGCTGCAGTTGGTAGAGATGGTGATAACAGGATATTTCCAATTGCTTGGGCTGTGGTAGAGGTAGAGGATATTAATAATTGGATGTGGTTTGTACAATTACTGAAAAAAGATTTGAGCCTTGGAGATGGAGCTGACATTACAATCATTTCAGATAAACCACAGAAACAAATAAGCACCATGTTTTTCATTTTGGCTTTGCGTACTTCACTTTTACACCATCCGATCTCATCTTTCAAATTTAGGACCATATCTTTCATCTCACCCACTTTTATCTTCTCATTCTCAATCTCGGACTCTCTTTGTAACATGTCTACAACCTCCTCATACATGCCGTCTTCTACCCACTTAAACAAGTGACCATCCTAGAGTACTCAAGCATCACAAATATGTTTCAAGCCTTTAAGATGTTAGTAAATACACAATAAAGAATGAAGATAGTTACTTACAGCTCTCGAAGCTCCACAGCGAAAGTAAGGCCGACCAGGGTTTAGTTTAGATTGTGAAGTAAAAACACTAACATCACTTCCACACACACATTTCTTAGGAAATCCTCTTACATTGAACCCATAGTAAGATGAATTCGAACTGAACTCCTCCTACAATAGTTAATTTCTTAATTAGAATCTTAAAACTAACAAACAAACATCAAAATTAGCAATCACGATTCTTAACACGATTAAAAAAAAAAACAGCTACTAAATTACTTACAGATCTTGAAGTTTCTGGGCAAAGGTTCTTGTTCTTTGTGTTCTTCATAGCTTCGTGATGTCGGGAATCGTTCACAATTGACTTCAATTTCTGGGTTGTCGTTTTTAAAATCGCCTAAGAACCCTAGGTTTGAATTTGGGGGAAGAAGAAGAATAATTTGGGATTTTTTGGTCAGATGAAGTTTTTAATCGAGCTTTTAACGTCACTGTTAACTAATTAACGTTGACTTTTTATTTGTCCAAAAGTGCTCAGTCAACTACACATTGAGGATTTAATTTGTTCACAGCAAAGTTCGGGAATAAAAGTGTCAATTTCAAATAGTAGGGGAATTAAATGACCATTTTCCCGTGGTTTGGGAGTCTATTTTTGGGCTCAATAGTAAAAACGAATTGGATCACTGAATTTGAAGCTACCACGGTTGGCCCAAGTCCCAAGTCCCAAACTTTTTCCGGCTGTCAAATTGGTGGCCTCCCCTTTTATCGAAAACACATTAGTGAGTGTAACCCATTAACGTCAATAATTTTTAAACCAAAAAAAAATAAGGGACAATTATTAAAATAGACCAAAAATCATAGTAAAATTAAAAAAATAGGCCAAATCTTATCAAATTAAATAACTAGGTTTTTTCTCTATGAAAAGTCAAGAAACTCCTTGTTAAATTTGAAGAATTATTTTTTTTTTTTAATTAACTACAATAAGAATCGGGAGTTTATTTTTTTAATTTAGATTTTAGATTTTTTTTGTTTTTACCCGAAAAACAGAGCTTTATTAATGAGATAGAATCCAGTTAGAATGTAAAGCAGCAGATATAACAAATGGAACAGAGTGATGAAAGAAGAAAGATTGTTCTTCCGGAATTTTTTGTTTAGCCAAGATGTCAGCTCCTTTCTTTCCATAACGAGGAATCCAAGTGTATCGGATCATGTCAAACCTTCTTTGGTGTAAAGGAGAGACATAGATTAAGGCTATAATTGTAATTAATCATTAGCTTAACCTAAGATCATCACTATATATACATTGTAAATCATTTCTCTTCAATGTAATACAATCACAGTTTATATGGTATCAGAGCAGGTCCTTCCAAAGAATCATATGCTTGATGCTAAACCGGTTGCCACGCCAATGTCTCCGTCACCAAAGCTATCACTACTTTCGGGAACGGCTCTAGATAATGCTCATGAGTATCGTGCTGTTATTGGAAGTCTACAATACTTGGCATTTACGAGGCCCGACATCGCGTTTGCTGTGAATCGCTTGTCACAATTTATGCATAGACCGACTGATGAGCATTGGCAAGCTGCCAAGAGGGTGTTGCGTTACCTCGCTGGCACCAAATCTCATGGTATATTTGTCCAGTGGAGGGTCGAGACGTTCGAATTCAGTTTGTAGGATTCGGATTGCCTAGGAGTGAAGAGTATGCCATTGCTTCTATCCACTCTTTCGCATCATGTCTCGCTTGAGATTTTAGATCTTTATTAAACAAAGAAACACAAATCATGAGAAAAAAAAAAAGAATGAAAAAACCCCTCGATCATCGTCATAAACTGTTGTTGTTGTTAGAAGATAGAATGTTGTTGTTATCACCACCATCATTTTTATCATAATGATCACTAAGGTCAACTTGATCTCTAATTTCACTACGAGTAGCAAATAACTTATCAACGACCTGAACTTTATGATTCTCACCACTCGTAGCAAATAACTCATTGACGAGCGAAACGTTACGATTTTCTTCGCCTTTTCTTTTCACTGAAACGCGAAGTGGGACAGAGTTAGATTTGCAAATTTCAATTAAACTCCTTACTTGTCGATCACTTGTCAGACACACATGAAGAGGCGTTTCATTTGACACATTCCCTAGCATTATCTTAGGTATTGCATAACTAAGTTCGATATTATGCATTGAACTATGTAACTGGTATTCTTCTTCAAATATCTGAAGTGGTCCGGCATACGACATATCATCCACTAGAATGAGTAATTTGCAACCTTTGGTTTGATCATCTGTAAAAAAAACACGCTCTTGAGCATCCAATCACCTAAAACTGCAATTATATGTACCATGTTTCTGTAGAAACATTTTTGAAAATAAAAATATATTAGTTACACAAAAACTCTATCAAACAAAGTCAATGTATAACTTTACCAAACTAACTCTACCTAATAACTTTACGAAATTGACTCTATAGAATAAATTTAGTTTCACACAGTTATTATATAGATTTTAAGTATAGTTGTTTGTTAAAGTTACCAAAAATCTCTGCACATTAAATTTTTGAAAAGACCTTACCAAACAAAAATATAGGGCATAACTTTTCGAAAAGACCTTACCAGAAATACTTTATCCGAAAACTTTATAAAACAACTATACGTTAAGATCCATAAAATAACAGAGCCAAACTAGTCTATGAAACAACTTTTTTCAATAACTTTACCCAATAATTTTATAAAAGAAATATACATGAAAGATCTATATAATAACTGTGCGAACTATACTAAATTACTATACTAAATTACTCCACCAAAGAACTATACTTTGCTAGATAACTTTTTCAAAGAAATTTAGCAAAGAATACATCTTTAAATACAAGCTTTCTCTTTTGGGTGGAGAACAGAATGTGACCGGAGATTTGGACACAACGCCTCAAGTTTTTGATAAGCAGTACTTCAAAGAGTTGGTTTTAGGGAGGGGTTTCATAAACTTTACAAGAGAATTACGCACATAAACGTTCTAAAATATATGAAACTATGCATATACCTACTTCTTTGTAGAAAGGACAAATCGTTTTTAAGGGAGTATGATTTGATAAACACTTATATATATATATATATAGGTTTAGTGAATTATTCAGGAGTTTTATTATTAAAAATTAGCCTAGATTAATTTGTCATGATCTTCATATTTGATCCAAATCAATAAAATATATATATTCAACAAAAATCTCTCACGTGGGCTAGTTAAACGTGGCTTTAATTTTTATTTTTATGTTAAATTATATCATTAAACATAAGGGTAATATTGTCTTTTGTGAGTGTACATTTTTAATTCTAGAAGATATGGTCTAGATTAATAATTTATGTTTGTTTTTAGATTTTTTTCATAATTTTCCCAAAAAATAACGTCAATAATTTTTTTGTTTTTATTACCGTCAATAAATAGTCATTTCATTTTACATTAAATCTTGTTTATGTTTCAAAATAAGTGTTCTTTTGGAGTTTTAATAAAAATATTTTGTATAAAACACATATTATTGTTTCGTATAAAACATGTATTTCATATACCGTAATAACCGTATATCAAATTAATAGAAAAATATATAAAAAAAAATTATTAAAAGTTAATTCATTTTGGACTAAGAAGTTTCTTTGTACACGTTTCTTAAATTTTGTGAAAATTATCAAAATGACAATTATTGTGGTATACAGCTGTTGAAAATTCTTAACCTTAAAAATACATATTGCTTTTAGATCTAACTCAATCCATTATCACAAGTTAGATTTGCTTCGAAGTTTCTTGAAGAACATACAAGTTGTTTTTGAGTAAAAACCAAAAACGTAACTAAATTGATAAGCCCCTTTTCTAGTAAGATTAAATTGTGCCTTCTCGTAGACGAAATCGTGGCGTGCATCTAACCAGAAAAACGTTTATTGTGATTTCACTGATTTGGACCAAAATCTAACGCCAGGTCATTCTGGTAAGAAAATCTTAAGGCTACAATGTTTTTTTTTTCTTCTATTCATTCAGGAGATTACACGTGGCATTAATTATGTGGTTAACATGTCGTTGTTTCTATATTGCAAATTGTCATAAATTGGTCCATATGAGTGCTTCTGGCACCTTTCCCTTTGTCTGTGTTTATTTATGAATAATAATTCATGAATAGATAAACTATTTTTCCAATAATTATTCATATATGTATGAAAATTCACATCCAAATTGTGATTTTTACTCTAATTTAATATATTTTCCAATAATAAATTAGTTTTAGCCAAATTTTAAAGAGAAAATCATTTATACAGTTTGTAGGTAGTTTTTTCTTTTTATTTGTTTTTTCTGTTGAATTCGTAGTCAAATTCATTTAGTTGGGAATCCTTTATATATTCAAATTTTCTTTTTATACAAATTGATAAGAAAATAAATGTAAACATACAAAATTAATATATTATGAGCTGTCATATTATTAATTTGACTTTATGAGTTGTCATATTATACATAGCATATTATTCTTAAGAAAAACAAAAACAAAAAAAATCTTTTATCATCAATGATCCGTCCGCTTCACAAAGTAACCACCAACACAATTATTTTGGACGCCTCAAATCCAAACCTTATTTCAATAATTGTGAACAAAAAAGAAAGCTATAGAGTAGTATATTGTGGTAGGTGGTTCGAACCACTCTTAAATATTTATGATAATAAGCTTTTTTTTTGTAGGATTTATGATCATAAGTTAATAACACCCAAAAACAAACTAAACTACTCCCTCTGTTCCTAGAAGAGTGATGTTTTGAATTTTACACACTAATTAAGAAAAAGTCACTTTTATAATTGTTTATTGTTTTATTATTAGTTTAATAATATTAATCTCACTTCTCTCCTTTCTCTATTGGTCACAAATAAAAATAGTAATGATGCTATTACAAAACATCAATCTTTGTGGAACAAAAAAAAATCTCAAAACATCAAATATCTAGGAACAGAGGGAGTATTAATTATTTATTGTGGTCATGAGATAGTTACAGACACAGAGAATACATTTGTCAGAAAGCTGACTCATTGTATCTTATCTTTCCCATTTACTCTTGCCTTTTATCCTACGTGTTGCCATAAAACTCTCATCTTCACCCACTAGCTCTCCGCCACGTGTACTCTCTAACCCTCCACTTTGGTCTTTTTAAGGCTTGCTTAAGCATTTGCATCCAAATCTCTCTTCTTTTTTTCTCTTTCTCATAACAACAACAAAAAAAAAAAACCCTAATTAGTTTTCTTCTTCCTGCAGAGATTATGGAGGTACCGGTGATTAATAGAATAAGAGATTTCGAAGTTGGTATAAACTCAATAAACGATCCTTCGTTTCTTTCTCGATCTGTTGCTGTTTCCGGAATCGGAAAGCTACACCAAGCTTATGGTTTTTGGAAATGGGGAGCTTTAATTATTGCATTTCTAGCTTATTTCACAAACTTTGTTAGTAAACTCAACAGTTTAGTTGTTAGGTTAAGAAAAATAGATGTCTCTGTTTCTTCTCCAACTCTTTTTGATGATTACGATAGCGATTCCGATGTTTCTTCTTCGTCTACCGTCTCGTCTGACGATGAAGAAGACGAAGAAGATGAGTATGATGATGAAGATGAGGATGTTGACTCGATCTTTAATCGAAGACGAGTCAATGGTGGTTTTCGCGTGAGAGGATCTGATTATTATGATGATGTTGATCAGGGAGAAAATGGTAATTGCACATGGATGGGGAGGCGATGTAGTGGTAGTTTTGGAGATTTGTTCTCGTGGCCTGATCTTGGTGGGATTGGTTCGAGTGGAGTCGTGAAGCTTTGGGATCATTTAGATATTGATGGCGATGATGATGATGATCATGAGAATGTTGTGGCTACGTTTCTCAAAAATTGTAGCTCAACCTCGTCGCTTTTTTTGGCGGCGGAGAAGAAAGGTGTTGACGCTGTTAAAGTGAATGCGTGTGATCCACGCGCCGGTTTTAAGATGCCGGCTTTGCTCGCGGAGTGGAGGCAGCCGGGGCGGTTGTTAGGGAATATTATCGGAGTTGATGCTGGTGGTGTGGAGAAAGTTTACGTCAGGGATGATGTTAGTGGAGAAATCGCCGTGGGAGATTTGAGGAAGTTTAACGGTGTGTTGACGGACTTGACGGAATGTGAGGCTGAGACTTGGTGGGACGCTGACGTCGTTATCTCGGGCTGACGGATTTGTTGACGAGAGAAAATATTGGTTGGGACGGTTTTGTCTTAAAGTTAAGAGAACGGACGAAAGATTCAACGCAAAAGTGTAAAACGAGAAACGACGTAACATTTTGTAAATAATTTGTCTGTTTGCTTCTCTGCGATTTATTTTAAAATTTTAGTTTTGATTGAATAAAAACCTCAGATTAATAAAGTGTTCGTGTGTGTTTGGTCGGTTACTAGTTCACTTGTTCTCTGGCTCTATGTGAAGCCACTAGCCAATGTGGCCGGTTATACGAGTTTGTGGTTTTGAATTAAAAATGTTATGAGATTAAGATAGGACAGAAGGTCAGAAATCATAAAAGGAATAAAAACAATTTAGAAGATAATGTCGTGAAATGTGTTTATATTTAGTACTAAGACCACAAGCAGTGGTACACTCTTTACCCGAGTGTGAGTAATTTTAAAACAAAAAATATTGCAAAAGTTGGAAAAGTTACACAGTTCGAGTGTGGGATAACACCCGAATGTGAGCCACGTGGGAGCATTTGGTTGGTAAGCTCTTCTTCTCTGTTCTTCACACTCCCTATCTCTCTCTATCTCTCTATCTCTCTCTCTTCTCTCTCTCTTTTATTATATTAATATTAATTTATTAACATCTATCCCTACAAATACACCACTGCTGATAAGAACTTGAAAAAAATAACCAATCACACTTTTTAGAAAAGGTAGGTAAAACATTTATTTTATTTTTTGTTTTAATTTCTTTTTTGAAAAAGGCTTTTTAAAGAATTTATAATATGCAACAATAGAACATTTTTAATGAAAAACGAGATTTTAAAATCAAAATAGTCTTATACTATATACTATTTAAAGATAAATTAAAAGAAGGAAATGTGAATTAAACAAGACACTACAAGAAAACAGGCAGGTACCGACTAACTTAGGCGACTACGTATATAGTCGTCATTTTTAGCGACTGTATGGTCACTGATTTACGACTACTTTACGACTAAACTTATATAGTCGTCCATTAGTCGTTAAAAACCGACCAAAATCAATAGTCGTACTATTAGTCGTTAAACAACGACTATTAGGCGACTAAGTTGTTAATATTATGTTGGTGTCGCAAAATAGTCGCCAAATTAGCGACTACGTAGACGACCGAGATGTTTAGTCGCCAAATTAGCGACTAATTAGTGACTCATTCGGCGGGTCGTAAGGTAGTCGCTAATTAGTCGCAAATAACAGTTAGATACGCACGTTTTTTTCGTTGGGTGGTAGGTGTATCTACTTTTATGGCGACTACGGCTTGTAGTCGTTATTTAGTCACTGTGAAAATGCCTATATAAAGAAAATTCTGTAACCCCTCTCTTCATTGTGCGAGCAACCAAAAAAAAAACAATAAAAAAAAACGTTAAGAAAAAAAAAATTCCAAAAAATTCCAAAAAATTCCAAAAATTCCAAAAATTCCAAAAAAATTCCAAAAATTCCAAAAATTCCAAAAAAATTCCAAAAATTCCAAAAATTCCAAAAAATTCCAAAAATTCCAAAAAAATTCCAAATTTTTTTTTTAGTAATGGCGGGAAATTACAATTATGGCGGTAATGGCGGGTTTTATCGGGAGTGGATGTACAAGAGGTTCGATGAAGCGACGGGAAATTTTACGGCTGAATTTGAAGCAGGAGTTGAAGAATTCATGACGTTTGCTAATAGCCAACCAATAGTCCAGAGTAATCGGGGTAAATTTCACTGTCCTTGTAGTGTGTGCAAGAACGAAAAATATATCGTTTCCGGTAGAAGAGTTATGAGTCATTTGTTTACTCATGGATTTATGCCTGATTATTATGTTTGGTATAAGCATGGAGAAGAGATCAATGTGGATATAGGAACGAGTTATAATGATAGGACGTATAATGATAGGACGCATGATGATAGGAATCAGGAAGATGTGGGTAATTATGTTGTGGAAGATCCATATGTGGATATGGTGAACGACGCATTTAACGTGGGGTTTGATTATAACATCTATCATCAGGATGGTAGTTATCAGAATGTGGAAGAACCGGTACGTAACCATTCAAAGAAATTCTACGACTTGTTAGAAGGTGCAAATAATCCACTATACGATGGTTGTCGTGAAGGTCAGTCGCAGTTATCCTTAGCTGCTCGGATGATGCAAAATAAGGTGGAGTATAATATGAGTGAAAAGTGTGTGGATTCGGTTTGCGAAATGTTTACAGATTTTTTACCAGAAGGAAACCAGGCAACAGGTTCACATTACCAGACCGAAAAGTTGATGCGCAATTTAGGCCTTCCGTATCATACAATTGATGTTTGTGTTAACAATTGTATGCTTTTCTGGAAAGAAGACGAAAAGGAAGATCAATGTCGGTTTTGTGGTTCACAAAGATGGAAGCCTAAGGATGATCGTCGAAGAACCAAGGTACCATATAGTCGGATGTGGTATCTACCTATTGGTGACCGATTAAAAAGAATGTATCAGAGCCAGAAGACAGCAGCGGCAATGCGATGGCATGCCGAGCACCAATCAAAGGAAGGAGAAATGTCTCATCCATTAATGGGCCAACACAACTAAATCCTAAACCCATTAAGAGAACCCCTATAAAAAGCTAACCCTAATCGCGAGAAACCCTAGTTCCTTTCCTCTCCATCTTCTTCCTCTCCGTCTGCGAGAAACCCTAGTTACTTTCCTCTCCATCTTCTTCCTTCGATCTTCTCTTCCTCTTCGTCTTCTTCGAAACCCATACAAACCCATTCCTCTCCTTCATCTGTTCATCTCGAAACCCTAGATTACAGCTTCTCAGTCTTCGATTTCTTCTCCAAACCCTAGCTTTCATCTTCTCAGTCTTCGATCTACACTTCTCAGTCTTCGATCTACTGTTCCCTCATTCACACGATGCCTACTCGTGGCCGCAAGAGGAAAATCGCACCTAATCTATCACAGAGACCCGGAGCCACCACGGCTGGTCAACGACCTAGCACTCTACCACCGCAATACAATTTCACGCCGGCGGTCCAAGCTCCTCAACCGCTGCAGACGCCTGAAGAACCAGTACCCGTGGTGCCGGTACAGTCAACGATTGCCCATGTCCGTCAATATCCTCCTCCACAACAACTCTTCCAGAACTCCACTAATCAACGTCCTCGCGTAGAGGCAAACAATTCAGAAGAAGTCCAGTTCAATCCACAGAACATGGCCAATCCTCAGTCTCCTGTCCAACAGTCTCCGGCTCCAGCTTCTCCTGTCCAACAGTCTCCGGCTCAGAGTCATCCATCGTTCCAGGATGAAAATGCTCCTGTGCCTGAAATTACTGAGGATAACCTGCGTGCTCTCAATGCCCTGCTTCTGGTCCCAGACCGGGATAAGTTCACCACTGTCCTCTCTCCCACACCCGTACCAGAGACGACATGGTAAGTTTATCTGCTTTTGATTAAAGTTTTGTGAAAAATGTTGTTTGGTTGTTGTTTACGGATTAGTGTGAATTGTTTTGTGATGGTTTAAAATGTGTTTTGTGATTGTTTGGTTTGTGATGGTCTCAGATTGGACATGTAATAGTTCTGTCAATGTGTGTTGTGATTGTTTGGAGTATAATGGTCTCAGATTGGTAATGAAATAGGTCTCTGAATTGTTCAACTGAGAGATTAGGTGTCTGATGGCTTATGGTTCAAGCTTAGGTGTCTGATGAGTTATGAGATTAGGTGTCTGATGGGTTATGAGATTGGTCTTTGATGTTGAGTTATGATGAGAGTTTGTAGTCACAGTATCTGTTTTGCTTCTATTATCTCCTTCTTTCTTTTTTTTTTAAGTGTCTCCGACTGTTTTAACCTCCTTTCTTGTTTATTGTTTCATGTATTTGGAGGTTTGATCGCGACAAAGGATCAAAACTGGTTCAGAAGATTACTAAGGTGATTAAGAACAAATTCGATGCTCCCTACTACAGCTGGACCTGTGTGCCTCGGGACAAACAAGAGAGATACTTCCTCGAGTTCGCGGTACAGTTATATGTCCTTTAGCCTTTCTATTTATGTTTACTTGTTTTTTTCACTCACATTAGCTCTTTCTTTTTTTTGTAGAAAACCCACACCTGGGATCCCTTGATAACAGGGACTGTGCAACAACATTTCGAGGAAATCTGTCAACGGAGAATGAAGGACATGGTCAGCAATGCGAGGACAGGTTTAGAGCGACCTGAGTGGATTGGAACCACTGTCTGGAAAACAATGACTGATTACTGGGACACTGAAGAAGCAAAGGCAAGGAGTCAGACCTATTCAAATGTCCGTATGTCTGACCGTAACGGTCTCGGGCCTCACATCCACTTCTCAGGTCCAAAGTCGTTTCAACAAGTAAAAGATGAATTGGTCAGTAACTTTAAAAGTTATGTTCTTTCTTCTTGTTACAACTTCATTGGCCTTTTAAAACTGACATATCTGTTTTTAATGTTATTAATCCTTGTTGCAGGAGGAGGAATTGGGAAGACCGGTCAGTCTTGGTGAGGTATTCATCAAGACACATACAAGGCCTGATGGTACTTATGTTGATCGGAAGGCGGAGAAGATTGCTAAAACATATCACCAGAATGTTCAAGAGAAGTTGTCTGAGCTCGAGGCTGAGGCTGCATGTGATACTTCTGCTGTTTCTGATGGTGCTTCACGACCACGAGAGCTAACAACCGAAGAATATACATCCATCTTCCTTAAGGTTATGATTCATTTTTTCCCAAAACACTCTCTCTATATTCTATGATTCTCTTTTGTATCATGCTCTAATCTCTGGCTTTCCCTGACTTTGCAGTCTACTGATAGGGATTCAAGAGGAAATTTTTATGGAGTTGGAAACCTCAAAGACTGTCTGGTCAATGGCAAGCGCAAGCAACCCGATTCATCTTCTTCTTTTGTGTCTCTGCAAGAACAATTGAAGGAAGCTCAACGCAAGATAGAAGAGCAGGCAGCGCGTGAGGCTGAGCAATCTCGGGCTGTGGCTGAGCAGAGGGACAGGCTCGAGCAGTTGTCTCTAGTGGAGAAGTATCTACGTCAAACAGATCCGCACTTCCTCGACTTCATGGCAAGTCAGTCTGCTAAAGAGCCAACCTCAGACCCTCTCTCAACAACTCTTCCCCTTGATGATACAACTACAACTCCATCTCCATATGCTGCTTTATAGGTTGAGATGTCTTAACTCTTTTCTGAACTTAAACTCTACGCCTCTCTTTTCAGAACTTAAACTCTATGCCTCTCTTTTCTGAACTTAAACTCTATGCCTTATGTTTCTGACTTTCTGTAGCTCTATGGAACAAAAACTTAATGTTGTTTTGGTTGGGTTTGAATGATTTTAGTTTCAGCTTAATTGTGGTTTTGTTAATATTTTTGGATTTGGTTTCATTGATTATTAGCCTGTAGTCGTATAATAGCAACTACAAACGTACCATATTTTAAATCGGAAAGAACTGTAGTCACCAAATTAGTCGTATATATGGTCACCATATTGTCACGGATTAGTCGCCATTTTTAACGACTACACACTGACTAAAAATAAGAGCTACAAACATAGTCGCTAATTAGACATCAAAGAGTCATTAACAATTTGGCGACTACGAAGTGACTATGATTTATAGCTACAATATTAGTCACTCATTAGTCGTTAAATAGACGCAAAAGATTTGGCGACTATTTAATGTCTATCTTTAGAAGACCATACGATCAACTGAGTTAATCGTAATTTAGTCGTAACTTAGTCATCTATTATTACGACTATTTGACGTCTACCTTACGACTAACTTCTCGTTGGCTACAATAGTCGTAAATTAGTCGCCTTTTAGCGACTACAATAGCGACTACCTATTTTAGCGACTAGCTATTTACAACTACAGGATTTAGTCGCCAAATAGTCGTTAAAGGCAGTTTACCGACTATTTGGCGACTAATATGGTAGTCGTTATCTGCCTGTTTTCTTGTAGTGAGAACAATAGATCAGTTATGAGCAGAATGCATAGCTATATTTAGGTTTTTTTTTTTATAATCAAACAGAAAAATTATGCGATTGATTCATTGTTACTCTTGTCAAACCTGACTTGGTACTTGGTATGATGCATTATTTATATATACTAAAAGTTTTTTTTTTTTGTAAAAGAATACGAAAAGTTTTATCTAATAAACCTTCTCAATGTACTGATGTGATCTCAATCAGGCTAAGAGAGCACAAGATCGTGATGGAATGACATGTGCTTTTATCATCATAACTGGAATGTTCTTGGTGGAGATGTCACAACACAGATCACATAAAGAGTTAATTCGGATAAATATCATGCCTCAATCTATCAACCAGAACTTTAAAACCTAATTAGGTGGATTAACCCGATTGGTGAGTGGGTTCATAAATCATGAGTTTTAAATTTTTCTGCCGAACAATAAAACTTTGGAACAACAAAAAAAGCTTTTAAAAAAACAACCATAATTGATATTATTAAAAATGAACACATATAACTTATTAATATTATCGTATACTATTTCAATATGATTAACTTCGTCAAAATCATCGAAATACACGACAATGATTTATTAGTAGAAGACAGAAACGTGTTGATCGAAATACACATTATGGGAGTGAAAAGTTAATATGCGAGACTTTGACCACATTCCACATTGAATTGAACAGTTCTTTGATTTTGGAAGTCACGTTTTTTCATTCGTGTGGTTCACATTTTTACGCAAACAACTCTCTTCAAGCATTTAACAAAAAAAGCTTTAGTTTTACATTTTAGTTACGTATGTTTCGTGTTCCATGGAAGTAATTGTGATATCATCGGGTTGTTTGGAAAAGTGATTTCGAGTTAAGAATTTAAGATGGCTTTACATTTTTTATTTACAACAATGATATAAAAAACCGTATCGGACTGGCTAGTCGGATTTTCTAATACGAACTCTAGTAGATTCATGTTGCAAGCTACTGTTTTTGAAACTTTTTTTTTTTTTTTTTGAAACTTTGGCAAAAAAAATACATTTTTAAGAAACTAAACTTAAATATTAACATTAAAAGTTTAAAACCATCAAAAAATTTCAACCGCTAAACCAATTATGCTCCAATTTTAATTAATACTCATGAAACATTTTCGTAATCCATGAGATTACCGGATATAGATGGCCAACTAGTTGACCAAGTTAAATGGTTTATCGTTAGTCGTTACTCCATCTATCTCATGAACCTTTCCATGTCTCTTTTTTTCGTAATACTTTTTTCTTTTTTTTTTGGAATATTTTATGTAGCTAGAGTCTAGACCATGGAGTTTAGAGTCAAGATTCATTGAAGATTTGAAGAGAGAATGTAATTATCTATTGGAGTGTCACTAAGAAATGTAGATGGAGATTTGTGGACTAATAAAGAAGAAAACAAATTCAAGAATTATAAGTAGATGAGGAACTCTAAAACTAAAAGTAAATCAATAGCATAATTACATTGTGGAAAAAAAAAATTCATAGCTAGTGAGCATGAATGATTTCTTATAAAGAAAACAAAATTAATTAAATGCTGTGTTAATAATGGGCCTAGGATGTATAACGAATATAAAATAGAGATATATATTTTAATTAGTCATTTGGGCTCAACAAAGAGGCCCAGAGCGTTTAACAAAATTATATGAAGACAAGAAGATGCGAACTATGTTACTATAATTTTGCCTTGAAGGGTTTATGTTCAGCATTATGTTGTGCATCTGTAATCAGAATTGTCATGTGATCCACCATATAATACTGAACCATCGAAACATACTGTCTTAGATAGATAACCCCATAGTAATATGAGCAACACAGTTAAAATATAAAAAAGAGTTTTTAATTTCACTCTAACAGCTTTAATAAGAAAGGAAGAAAAATTACATAACTTTATAATTAATTAATCTCTTCCTCTTGACCACGCTTATGCTTCAGCTTCACAAAGGCGTAAATTACCCCAGCAGCAAGAAAAAAGATTACAAGAATATATATCATCATGTCCAAATGCGAGGACTCCATCTTCTTCATTCTTTTTTATTTATTTATTCCAATATTCTGAGTTAGCATCTTTATAAAGAAGAAAACTAGGTATTATATAGAGCAGAGAATCGTATTGTATCATAGAAATAAAAAGTTAATTATTGAGATTAAGGAAATTTTACTTTATAGATTATTGGAATAAAAACTATAATTGCTTTAATTGCATACCATTAGTTTCTACTTGGTTTCATTGTTTCCAAATTTTCTACTACTGTTTACTTTTGAGAGGCTACTAAAAATCTCCACGTTCAGTTTTACATTTTTAGTTAGAAAACTTCCTAAAAGATTTGTTAAGATGGGCCGTCATCAGAAAAACGGATTATTGCTTTCTAAGATGAGCCTGAAGCCCATTTTTAATACGAAGCCCAATAATGCATTTCTCGTCTTCAAATATTTTGTGGAAGCCCACACATTGTCGCCGGGGTCCGTTTTATTGTTAAGACATTTACACCAACTAATCACGAATAAGTGAAACAACTTATGAACGAACGAATTAGTGAACAAACCAAAGTATACATATAAAACGAAAATATAAAAGCATATTTTATAGGGAAGTCTTATTCGAACTTAAAAACCAAGGGTCGAAATGAATCGGTCCGGTTCGGTGACATATACATACGTTGAGTTGGAGAACCAAACAACGTCATCGAGCTCGGTGTGAACAATGGCATATCAGTTAACTTTTGTCGTTGTGTTCTCTCCTGACTAAACGGAGCCGCCGTATTATCATCACCGACGTAAGCCTCTTCCGTCACCACAGAAGAGGATGATTCGCTGACGTCGTTAGGGTTCCGTCTAATAATCTCATCTAGACCCGTGAGCCTTTGAACCAAGGCCATGAAGTCTTCGGCACGCGTGTGGATCACTTTCGGAGAATGCGCGTAAATGATTACTGGAGAGGCCCGTCCATGTGGCCGTGGCTGCGACTTACACGACGTCGTTTTCTTGATGGTGTGGGATTCTCCGGCGAGTTTTAGCGACGGAGGACGTGAGCCGTTGATCTCATTGCATCTTGTTGGAATCATCGTAGGTAAAATATATCAAGAGAATTGAGAATGAAAGATCAAGAAAGCTTTGAAAATAAACGGAGATCTTTGTTGATATAATACGTATATATGTAAAATTATATATTTGCGTGTAAGTGTGGTTAAAAATAAATAAATCGTATTTTATTTCAGCCAACTATTCTGACCGTTGACTTTGTTTACGATTAGAGTTTTGTAGTAAAACGGTCGTTGTCGTTGAATAGTATTATAACATGCCTCAGGTATAATCCTGTTTATTAATAGTTTTTAACACATCAAAAATTCATGGGTCGAAATTCTTGAATTTCTTTTTCTTTCTTTTTTTTAATGCAATTTTTTTTTGGATGAAATTGCAAAACATTTCTCTAAAATATGTATTTCCCCTTTTTGATTTTTCCAAAACCTCAGATTTTTAAAATATAATTCAGTCGATTTTAGTTATTTCAGAAATGCACGATTGTATCCAAATAAATTTTAATATTATTTTGGTGGAGAGTTCTTCATATTTGTTCATGTTTGAATTTTACTGGTTGTGACCATGCAAGGTTGGCTGCAGGTGGTTGAAATGGCTTTACTTCTCTCCTTTTACGTAATAAGAAATTTTAAAAAGGTTCAAAACTATCGGCTTTTTAATTATAAATTAAAATAAATAATTAAACCCACTTACAGGCAGCTGAAAACATTAATCTTTTTTTCCCCAAATTGCTGGGTATTATAATGATTATCATTGTCATTGTTTTGATCTATCTATTAAATACATACATCAGTAGAAAATAAATGAACAATATATTATTTTTCTTTTGCAATTGGGAAATGAAAAATATTAATCTGTTCTTAGACAGAATATGAGTTTTGCTCTGTCGGCTAATTGCGCTTCTTGTACATCTATACTATAAAAATGCACCTACATAGATTATATTTGTTGAGGAAGCAATAAAGATCATACTTTCCTATCAAAAAATAAGAACATACTTAATTTGTTTCATGTGTGTCTTTGAGCCCCTTTCAATTTCCGTTTGGAAGGAAGATAAATGTTTACAATGAGAAGATGTATGAGTTTCGGCCAAAATTCTTCGATTTTTTGATAAATTTCAGTATCACGGATTCAATGACAATAGTAATAAGTAGGGTTCTTCCATGCGGGTTTTTAACTATAAGTATACGAATCATAAGTTTTTGTCCACGTGATTAAATAAAGTATATGATATAGATAAAATGTGTACATGTACCATGAGAATTCGAAGACGACTTGTAAAACACTAATTGTTTATCAAAATTCAAAAGTCAAAAGCCTTAAAGTTTCCATTATTAAACCAAAATAGTTGTTGTGGAATAACAAGACTGAAAACAAAGTCAGCCTCTTTTCTCTTATTGCTTAGTGGTTTTTATTTGTACATTGTTGTGTCATTTATATGGATTTATATTATTAGAAAGCATGTAATTGAAAAGAAAAAAGTCAAAAACAAATCCAGCCTTATGCGCTTAACATATACTCCATTTGTTCCTAGAAGATTGATTTTCTAGAGATTTCACATATTTTAATAAACAATCATTGTTTAATTATTTATTTTTATTAAACATTTTTTAATAAACTAAGAACTAATAGTTATTTGAAACAGTTAATCATTACATCTTAAAATTTACGATTTATTAATATCATTTAACTAAAAATAAAGAAAAAATCTAGAAAATTAATCTTTGTGGAACAAACCCAAAACACTAGAACATCAACTTCTAGGAACATAGGAAGTAACATATAACATGTTCAAGAGTCTGAACGACACATATATAGTATAACTTCAAAGGTTCAGATCGGAGAAGAATCTAAATCTTCTTGGTAAGAACAAACCCAAACTCAATTTATTCCAAAGATAAATCTTTTGTCTCTATTTTTATGTGGAATATTACATAAAAGATGAATATCTATTTAAAAAATTTAAAATAAAATAGGCACAAAGATTTACAAGTAACTCATTCATCTCAAAACAAGATGAAGAGTACATCGATCTCGTCAAAGACTTATGCCTAGCAACTATCTTCACTAGTTGTTCTTACATTCATACATAGATTCTGATTTTCTTTCATAACTCACACTAATCATCTTGCTCATGTACATGTTTCACCATATCCAGAGAAAATAAACAAATAAAAAAACGAGTCAACCCCAAAAGGCCAAAACTCTCAAAACCTCTTAGTCCTTTTTTAATTGAGCTTAGATTTTTTGTTTTTGTTTTGTTATTTCGAAGCAGTATTCATTCAAATTTTTGCTAGTGAGTTTTTAACTAGAATCTCCATTTGATGCCACAATATGTACCACCAAAATCTTGTTACAATATAAGCTTGTAACATTAGTAAGCCTGGTAAGCCCAAAAAAGAGCCCAAATATCTCAGGTAGGATGAATTGTAAAACACATTTGCACAGACTAAAGCCCGAATCAAAGAGCAAAACAAGTCACGAGCCAAAAACATGGAGCGTAATATAGAGTCTTAAATTGGAAAAGCTTCTTAGCAAAGAAAAAAAAAAAAAAATTGGAAAAGCTGAGACCTCGAGATTATAGGATCACGCGTAAAACGCACGCGTACTATTGCATCATGTAGCTAACATTTGGATCTAAACTGTGCCTATTGTTGTTGTTTAGGCACAGTCATATTTAATGGAGCCAAATTATTATGCTTCGGGAAAGAAAAACTCAAATAAATTAATACATGAAGGAATGATTCAATTTTCAATAAATTTTGGCCTTATTTCAATTCTTACACACCTCGGATCTCTCCCAGCTACTGTTTGTTTGTTTTTTTGGTCTGTTCGTTGTCCCTTATTACATTTGTCCCTTAATTCTACTTGCTTCAAGCAACAACATTTTCCTTTGGTCAATAAGAACATATGATCACGCATGTCAGTTTCTTGTTTCACGATATACAAATGTGTTTACTGCGCTATTTTTATATGTTAATTGGTTTTCATTACCTAAACAAAATATGTGTGTATGTTTGGTTAGACATTAACATACTCGCGAGGTGTTTTTAAATTCATCATATTTTTCTCTTTATAGAAAAAATAATAATTCATATAATTATATAGAAAAACTAAAAAAAAAAGTGCCAATACACGATAAACCGCAATGGTCCTCTTTGTTTCTCACGATTCCATGTTAACTCATTAAAATCATAATTTATTGTTCCATTTTTTATCATACTTATAAGAAAATTAAAGAGTTTGTTTGATCGCCGAGATGATGGCAAAAAAGAAAGAAAATATAGAAGAAAGAGTCTTTCCTTGCTTATGTCTTTCCTAAACCAACTGAGTATGATGTTAAACTCTTGGATTTCCATATTGGACTTGGAGTAAGAAAGGCATGAAAATTTTATTGTTGTGAATCAGTTATTCTACTTAGATTTCATATAATTTTATATATGTGTATTCTTCTTGCATCTATGCTGTCCAAATCATGAAAAATGCGTAGGGGGAAAACCTCATATTAGCCCCACAATTATTTCTCCCTGCTCTTTAGGTAACATCTAACTTTGGAACCAAGATAAACAAAAAATAGTTAGCATATGATAGGAGAATCAAAATATCTTCCAAATTGCAGGATTTTATCATTTATCCCTTGCTCGAGAGGCTAGGCACGATCATCACATGCTCTATGTTGTTTTCAACGAGGGTAAACTCAAAGTTAAAACCAAAATATCAATGAAGACAAAAGTTAAGAGGTAACAATCTTTTGATCTAAATTATTGTATTTTTTAAGATGAATTTATTTAAGAAAATACCCTAACATATTTACTGATATAACTTTAATACTTGTTTGTGGAAAGATGTAATTTTCAATTTTTAATAAAGAGATATGTGTCTTTCTAAAATTTTAAAATATTAGTTTCTCTAAAACAAAGTGTTAAAAATTTTGTGTATTCAGATTTCTAGATAGTATTATTTTATGAATATACATTTGTATTTTAAATAATAGGTATATTATGATCTTATTTCTAAATTTAGCTATATTATTTTTTCTTCGCATAGGTCCATTACTGTGGAATACAACACTTGATGAGTGCAATGAATAATTTTCTTTGTATTGTTATTATTTGATGAAGATATACACCATTATATTGTGTACAAAACATCTCGACCATAAGTCGCAACCATAGCATGCATGCCATAATTAGTTGTCATAAATTCATTAGTTATAGCATGTGTTCAAAGTTTGACGTTTAGTTATTTTATCCTTTTTGACATCGTGTTTTGACTTTTTAAGTTTGATAAAATATGCCAAAATGTACAAAGAATATTTGTATATAAAAATAGAAGACCATGAGACTGATTGAAAAAAGGTACAAAGAACCATGTACTTTGATTCGTAGACCTTTTTGTATTTGAATAAACAGCGAATAATCTTATTGAGTTTGATAAAATTATATTTTCATTTGATTCAAAGCTGTCATTTGCATGCATTTAGACAGTTTGGGGATAAAGAGAATCTTCCTTTCAAATTGGATTTGTGAAATAATATGGCGAGATCAGGTAAAACACTCGATGTCATCAAACTGTTAATTTCAATTATGGAGATTTTACTTCTTATTGTTTATTTTAAAAAAAAACTCTTGTTTTATTTCTTAATATGTAGTGTCATTGATCCGGCCCTTTAAACCATGGACATTTCAAAATACAACAATTCTAAAATTTGATCCATCTAGTAGCTAATCTCATATTATTTATCCCATACAATCTCTCAGTATATTCTTAACAAACCTCTGAACAGTGCCGGTTTGACATATTTCGGTATCTTACGCAAAACTTAAAAGTATAAATAATATAGTAATATTAATAAAATCGCATCAAAATTTCATATATTGAGGCTCGAATATGGCTTATTATTCATTTAAAATATCATTACTTCATTACGCTAAGCTACATGCTTTGGTTGTAGAAAAACAATGATAGAATGCCATTAGGCGTTATCTGCTTTCTAAAGTACATATTATTATACCATGTTTGGTGTGAGTGAAACTAAAGATACCACAAAAAAAAAAACTAACATCAGATGAAGGTGATTTTTCTCATCGAAACAAATTATTCATAATAAACTAATCTCTAAATATCAAAAAAAAGAAATCTCTATTAAATTTTTGCAACACCGTACCACCGATATGATTAAATTTTCTCATTGTAGTTTAGATTAACGCTTTACATAAGTCTTGCTTTCTACTTCTTTAAATTTCGATTTCATCTTTTAAAAGTTTTTATTCTGTTCGGCAGAAAAAAAAATCCAGTGATTAATAAATTTAAATTGCAAGATAACACATTTATATATGTATATATATTGCAAAAAATTTGAAAAACAAATCTGCCAATTCAAATATATAGTTGTAAACCAATTGAAATATATTCGAATAGATGGGAGAATGGGACCACCTCCAAATTTACACTACGGACAATACACAATCTAACATTCAATTATACATGAGAGGAGATATCTATGAGTTAGCTAGGTACATATATATCATTTTCCTTAGATTGGAATGAAATAAATAATTGTATGTAAAGCGTTGTTGACCACACCTATATCAATGGTAAAAAGTTTTGAAAGCAACCTCTGCAGTCTACAGTTTACGTGCCAATATTATTGTCTTTGTTTTCTGATCAAGTTCTGTCACAAATTATGACGCCTTTATGAAACTTCAAACAACAATGGTGAACAACGAGAGAATAATAAATGGGTGATAGAGATCGATGGAAAAATTATTGATCTTTATATAAGACGAGTTTAAAGTTCTTGGTCCTAAACCAAGACCACCGTACGTACCAACCACGTGTAGCTTTCACAAATAATGATCTATTTATTACAAATGTTGTTCCATATATCTTATGTTTTAGTTACGAATTGTATATACGTGGTGCATGCACTTGAAACTCAAGAATCAATATCTTTGTGACGAGGGCTTATAGATCCACGGCTAACTAGATGTGGAACAAAATATCGTGTGGGAGTTGTATAAGAATCCAGCAGCTCGTTATGTCTGTTATGATGAAGATTTAATTGAACCTAAAATACTTTTATAATAACTTGGACCAAAAAGGGTGTTTTAAAGTCCAAACAAATCATTACAGAGATCATTGAAAACTAGTCGAATAAAATCTATGTAAGATTGTCTTTTAAGATTTGGAGGATTTCGTTTTGATTAGTATTAGTTGTCATATCTGACTTCAAATAAGTTTCGTGGGGCTGTCTGAATCTAAAAACCCCTTGCGGCTCAGGTTGCAACATTCTGTTTTCTTCAAATTTAGATAATGCAAGGTAATACATTTTGCTAGTTTCTAAAATACTTTTAGACGATTATGGCTTATCTATTTTAGTTAACTCAAAATGAAATGTATGAATGAGAAATCATTCGTGTTTTGCCTTTTCCTTTTTGACATCAGTTCCTGTATTTTTTTATTTTTTTTTTGTTATTATGATAAAACTAAACGTGTATGAAATAATAACGTAAACATAAAACAAAACAGAAACGGCATAGGAATTATGTTGGCCTCCTAAACCACCGGTTAAGCATCCTACGTAGTCAATTCAGTTAGACCATCAATACGTTTAGGCAACTTTTTATGTTTATAAGCTACATTTGATGGTTTTCAGTTTTTTTTTCTTCTTGATAAGATGGTGGTTTTCAGTCTACAAACTATTTTTACTACTAATGACTAACTTTATGTTTATTCTGAAATTTATTAAAACTACTGTGTCATTTTTTTTTATAAAATCTAAGATTACATATGTTTACAAATGTAGTTAAGTATGGCGCTAATCCACTTTTTTTAATATAGATACACAACATGTTATTTTTTTTGGTGAGAAGATACGCAACATGTTATAGAATACCAATAAAACATGTGTACTTAATTATAGTAATTTCTACATGTTACTCATTTTAATTATGAATTTATTTGTCTTCGTACATATGATCCACAAACCTTTTTTTTTTATCCACTAAGATTATATTATACTACTCCTTCGGTTCTTTTATAAATGGTGTTTTAAGCTTCTATTTTTGTTCTTAAATTGATAAAGTTTTCAGTTTTCAATGCAATATTAATTAGTTTTTTGTTTGTTTTGACTATTTATATTATGCAGTTAGTTTTTTTATTGGTTGATTAGATAATAAATGATGTTTTAATTCCAAAATAAATAAAAATTAAATGATTTCTTAATCTGTGTGCAATCTCCTAAAACATCAAATAAAAAGGAACGGAGGGAGTGTAATTTAAACAAGTGGACAATCAAAGTGCTATTGTCAAGGTGAAGATTTTTATTAAACGAAGTAACAAATAAAACCTTTAATTTTGGAGCAAAACTGAAGATTCATTAACTTTTCCTTTAATCTTTGCATTGAATAAGATTCGTTATAAAAATGAAAATAAATGTCGTAAATATGTTTCTTTGCAAAATTGAATTTTCATTTCCGTTACGACTTTAATTTGTTGTCATTTGTCATGGGAACCCTGATCTAGCTACAGTGGGTGGTGTTCTACGGGATGGAGAAGGTAACTTGTATGGTGGCTTTGCTTTAAACATCGGAAGATGTTCGACTCAACTTACGGAGCTTTGGGGGGGGGGGGGGGGGGGGGGGGGGGGGGGGTTTATTATGGGCTCTTTATAGCATGAGAGAAACAGATTCCTCGGGTGGAGTTGGAGGTAGACTCAGCAATGGTGGTTGGGTTTCTTAAGACATGGATAAGTGATCAACATCCGCTGTCATTCATGGTTTTCATTCATTTGATTTTGTTCTGATTGCTTTGGACTCGATATTAAGAGAGGATAGCCTTGGGTCAACACGACCACGGCTAATCCGAGTGTAATGACGTTTATTTACTTTTCTTAATAAAATACGGGAGACATTTGTTTTCCGGTGAATCACCAAAAAAAAAAAAACGAAATGATGACTGTCTATAGAGCCGGATATTGAGGTTTCAAACATCGACTTCCGTTTCCAAAAAAAAAAATAAATAAATATACATTTTATACAATAACAAAAAATAACAAAAACTTTATCAAAAAAATAAAAATACAAAAAGGTTTTATTTGTTCTGACGCTAAATGCAAAAACTCTCTCTCCATGCCGTTGCTTTCTTCTCTATACACAACATTTCTGCAGACTACAACAAACAAACAAACAACAAGCTCCTAATTTTCCTAAAGATCAAAACTTTAAATCAAATACTTTTGAAAAAATGGTACACATTACATATTAAAAAAAAAACAAGAAACTACTGAAGAAAAATACAAGAAACTAAAGTACTTTTTCTAACCTTTTAAAAAATTTCAAATTGATGTTTTTAAGGACCAAAAATGGCGGAGAAGAGATCATATGTATTCTATGTTTTTTCTAGACTAAAACCAAACAACAACAACAACAAAAATGTCTTTTTTTCCAATATTATTATTTCAAAAATAGTTCCCAAAAATGAGCTGTAAAATAGCTGGAAAAAAAAAACCTAATCTTCCACCAAATGCCGGTTCACAATCTTTACGCTTGGCTCCAACACTTGCTCTTCCCAAATCTCTCTCCACTTCTTCTCCGACGAACTCTTCATCATCACTGCTTTAAACGACGCCGTTGCATCAACTCTTTCTATTTCCCAACCAGCGTCTTTTAGCATCTCAATCTTCTTTATCTGTCTCTTCGCTAACGTCCACGTGTTCCTTTTGATATCCTCCACCGCCTTATCGTACGCCGCTTTTCTTAAACTGTCCCACTTTATCATCTTCTCCGGTGGATACTCTTTGAAGTAACCGTCAAACTCCGGTACACCTATAGCTTTCCTAATCCCAAACCGGGTTGCTAAACCGGATTTAACCGGGTCGTAGAATCCAGATAGCTCTTCAAACATACCTGAATCCATCATTTCGTCGACTCTTTTGAGAAGATAATCGTAAAGTACAGTCTCCGATACATCGACCCAGATGAAACAACACTTGTAACGCAAATCGGAGCTGATTAAACCCGACCCGGAAGAAAAAGGATCGATCTTTGGGTCGAATCGTTGAGCTAAGAGTGCGTGAACGAAAGAGTTAGATCCACCGGCGATTATCGGAAGCTTTTGACGAGAAGTTATCTCTTTGACGACATTTGAAGCGGCGGAGCGAAACTCTCCGGCGGTGAGTTCGCCGTGTTCGGGGTTTAAGACACCGAGGAGATGGTGAGGAACGCCGCGACGGTCTTGTAACGTAATCTGATTCGTTGTGATCTCTAATCCTTCGTAGACTTGGATTTTATCGGAGTTTATGATCTCTGAAGGAAAACGAGTAGCGAGATCGACGGAAAGTCTTGATTTTCCGGCGCCGGTTGCTCCTAAAATGACGACGACTTTGTCTTTTCGAGTTTGTGACCGTGACTGTTCCATGCGTATGGATGATACTAAAGGTTGGTGTTTTCGTCTTCGTTTGGTGAAAGAGAGAAAAGAAGAAGAAGAAGAATGTGATGAGAACGACGGTGACGTCGTCGTCGTCGTGAAGCGATCGGAGATTATTGGGAGGAGGAGGAAGTTGAGTTCTGTCATTAGCTAACAACAACACGGAAAGAGACAAAAGTTTCGTACGGTTCTTTTTTGTTGTGTGTTTTTGAAACGATGCACCACACTACAATCTCTCTTTTTGTCTCTCGCTTTCTCTTTCTCTTTCTCAAGCTTCTTCACTTCAATGGAGGTGGTGGCTGACCTCAAATGCGTCAATATCTTTTGGGTTTGGAGAGGGTTTTAGAAGAGAAGTGAATCATGAAATTGAGGTTACAAAAATTGTTATAATAACGCAGTTGCATGATTAAAAACAAGAGAGAGTTTTTGTCTCTGATTTTTTAAGCTTTTAAAGGACCATTTGTTATTATACCTATAGACGTGAATGAAACCTAGATATTAACAAAGAGGAAACGATGACAAACAAACCAAAAAAAAAACATCACTCTTTTTTTTTCAGGTATATACAACTTTTTAGTCCCAAGATTAATTTGTTTTTTACTGACCTTTTATTTAAGGAAATAAAAAAATGTGTTTGAAAGTATTTTTTGTTTTGTTTTGTTTTGGGTTTGAATGTGTGTTTTCATCATTATTATTTCAACACACAAATGTGTTTTATCATTTAAAATAGGAAGTGAAGCTATATTTACTGATAAAAATAGATAGGTCATCCAAATGGCAAAAAAAGGAATATAGCTTTGGGTTCTTAAAAATGCGGATGAAATGTTAATGCCACGTGTCGGCACGTGGGAAGAGTATAAGAAGAATGGGAGGAAAACAAGTGAAGGGTGTGGCAAAAGAGACGCGTGGGAAGAGGATTTATTGGCCATTGCGATTAGCGAGAATTACAACATCACATGCCTCACTTAACAAACTCTTAATTGTGTTTTTTCCTCTTTGTTTAAACTCTACACACACCCTATAATCTTCATATGTTAACTTGGAAGCAATGAAACCATTTTCTTCTAATTCATTTTTTCTCTAATTAAACCGAGTGTGGATGTGAGATCCGAAACGGAAGGTTAAACAATCGGGTACAAATAGTAACTAACATAAAAACATTTATATTATAGCATAAGTTAAGTTCTTTGAATGTCAGTTTGTTGCTCGTGTAATGCTCTCCTTGATTATGGTAATAAGTTGCATTCGATGGATCCCTCATCTCTTATTTGAAATTTGCTTAATGTATATGACAATTGAAACTCAGTTTGGCAAAGCAAAATCGTGAATTAATTGCACAATTCATCGAATATATAATATTTTTGAAGTTATTGAACCATGTAACCAATCCACGATGTCAAACAAACAGCATTTGGACATAGAGCATCCGGATCATGAACCACGAAGATGATTTATTATAGATACTAATGAAAATAATTGAATTTACTATATAAAGACACATGACCTGCATGTTTTTTCTTTCTAGTTTACATGTTTTTAATCTTCTCGGACCAAAAATCAGACCATGTAAATAAGTCCACATCTAAGAATGTATATTACACATTTTATATCTCTCCATAATTACGTACGTACAACTCATTTCAACTGCCTATTTCTGCGAAATTCGTTATTAAGCTTATATTCTATGCAACGAAGACAAACATAACCGATGGGAATAATCTATACGTGCTTACGTTGAAGCAAAATGGTTCCTTTTGTTCGGTCGTAGGCTTATGATGTTGATGTATTTTATCATGTAGCTAGCTACTCCTTGTGGATTAATTATTAAATATAAAAAATATTGGAGTATTTTATAAACTGTACACCAATGTTTTTGCAAAGTCAACGTACGGCTTCTCTAATTCAATAAGAGAACTACGATATTTGTTAAAGCTAATCAGGTTTTCTTATCCATATATTTAACTAACAAAAACTTTCTCTTTCACCCATATTATCATCAATTATTATAAGATATAAACCGACACTAAATACAACTAGACTAAGATTCAAAATGTTTCTAGTTTATAGATGATATGAAAAAATGATCCAAAGTGGGTCTTCTTATGTCACCGATTCAAATGGATAGGGGGCACTATAAGAGATATTCAAAACATGGTTTAAAATAGAACCGTGTTATTTTCCTTCATTTTTGTTTCAAATTATTTGCCTCATTAGGAAGAAGAGAGTGGTATATGGTGAGAAATTAATTATTAGAAAGAACCACTATAATTTGAAAACTTGAGAAATAATTTTGAGTAAATGACAAAGAAAAATGTAGACAAAGCCTCCACTTGGCTTCAGCACAACTCAACGGTGCATTCATCATCCGGACCTGTATTGTATCTGTATCTAATTAATGTTAACCTGTTGCTCTAATCATGATTAAGTTCGTAGGTCTTGTCTTTTATGGAAAACAGATTATATATTCCTTATAACTTCATTTTAATATAATAATTAGAAGATAATAATTGTTAAAGTGTATATTAAACACTATATATACTACGTCCAAAAAAAGTGTAGCGCTAGAACTGAACTTATAGAATAATCATTGCATGTATTAAAATAGTCAGCCATCTGATTTTATAAACAGATTATTATATAGCTGACTTTATTTTCGAAGTCAAAAAAGGGAAAAAAAATAGGTGACTTTTTATTTCGACAAAGGTTTGTTATCGGTTTCGTATTCAACGACTTGAACAGCTAATCCATGCATAGAAAACAAAAACTTGTCTAAACTGGTCCAAGTGGTCTAAAGAAGTAGTAGTCAAAGATCGCGAATCATGACATTTACGGTCTACATATGCTGAAAATTTGTTTGAACGACTCTCATATAAGACTAGCCCTTTAACAAAAAAAAAAAACTCTGATATGAGATTTTCGGAGCTATATAAAATCAAAATTACAACGTAATTTCGATGTAGACATATAGTCGACATAATTTTGGATGTGGGTTAACCTTCGTCCTGAAAATCAAGTTTTTAAAAAAAAAATTCGGCAAGGTAGAGAGAAAAAGCTTCACCATAAATTTTGTTATATCATCATCAGCCACAAATATATTAAAATCATTTACATATAAATTGAACTTTCTAAAATTTTCGTTTAGTCTTTTTTTTCTTTCTTTTTCTTAAAACTAGATTTCTTTCTATGACCATAATTATTCCCCGAACTATGCATGCACCACAATTGCTAAGTGAAATGGTCATTCTCGATATTTTTCCAGCCATGCACGAACAATCTTTAAAAATTCTGAGATATTAGGAATTTAGGATTTAGATCTAAATCTAATATATATTATAATGGTTTATCGTCAACATGAGAGATATGTCTCTCTTTTTTATTCAGGGGATTTATTTAGTCAAAATTATAGTTTCTCTTTTTTCGTTTTATAATAATGACAAATAATAATAGATATAAGAAAGAAAATCCTAGATCAAAACCAAATAAAATCCTAAAATATGATTTCTTGGCAAAAAAATAAAGATATCATAAAATATCAAAAATGTATGTAATGGAAATCCGTAGTCAAAAGACAACAAGTAATTCCGTCTAATATGTGATATGCACTTTGCCTACGTCGACGTCGTTCTCGTACCACGTTAAACTGGATAAGTAAGACTGTAAGTGGCTAAGAGCTTCATCAAAAACATGAATTAGTAGATTGAAAATAGCATCATCATTCACCACTAACAATGTCACAAAAAAAAAATGACGACTATTTTCTTGGAAACTCTACCAAACTTGTTGCACGCTGAAAATAAACGACAAGCAGCTTCAAAATAGATAATACGATATAGTACCATCTATATACGACAAGCTGCTATGTAATAATTTCTTATATAAGTTAAATGGAACGATGGGTCTTGTAATAATTTATTAAAGCTTAAAGCTGAGAACGAGGTTTAGGTACCTAGTCATGACGTAATAAAAAGATGAGACAAAAACAAAAAATGTTATAGATACAATAAACTAATTGAATTCTTCAAATGTTTACAAGGGAAACACAACATTATGATGATGTCTATCAAATTGTGAAATTATAACTTTTTTTTAATACAATGTGTATATATAATTAATTTTAATCGTCTCTGCAAATTGAGCATCCACATGCTGTCATGCTCTGCATCTCCCACACGCTTGTCCCTAAACAAACCCGTACACCGTCGTTTTAATTAAATAATTTCTCTATTCAATTATATATGCTCAACTCAACTAAACTAAACTTAAAACCCTCTTCTACTATTTTTTATTATTACTTTTTGTGGTCGAAAACTATACGAGTATAAAACCACCTATGTATATAAAATATGAATTGGCTGAAACTCTGAAAATTTCATGAATTTTTTTATAAATTGATCAGTTTAATATGATAACAATTATGTTTAAACATTACAATAAGTTTTGATGATTTCTTGTGCCAAATATCAATGATTTGTTTGCAAACTTTGTTAAACTCAACGTCAAATATCTTGTAGTTTAAATTATAAAGAAAACCACTTTATAGTACTATGGTATACATATGTGAACTGTAAAGTATTAGTATGGATTATGGAATTAAAAAAAAATTTGACAAATAAGCTAATGACAAATATTGTGACTTGTGAGAGGTTCTTGCAAAATGTTGATTAATTACATATTTCTCTGCTATTTTCAACCATTTAGTTGTATATAGAGTTATAGACTACATGGTTGACAGTAAACTTATACTTAGTTCTGAACAACCTCAGAAATAATTTCAACTATATTGGGCTTAGGCCCAATAACATAGTCATGGCCTCATGGGCTATTTCTTCGTGCTAACTGTCAAATGTCCAAAAGGTATTTTTCTTCGTCTTCCCCATCTGATCTACAATCTCAAATTCTTGGATTTGAATCTCCGTCATCCATGGCCGTCGCTGTTTTTCGCCGGAAATAATTCTTTGTCAAACGATCAATGGAGTGAATTATGATAGCCCCACTGCACTAATAATCT